TTGCTATTGTAAGCAAAGCTGCAATAAACATGGGTGTGCATGAGCTTGGTCCTTTTTTAAAAAAGAAAAATAGAAACTATATAGCCCAGAGTCGGTGTGAAGGGTTTAGTAGAAGCAGTGTAAGCCAATCATGACTGATACCTTGCAGCTGCTCGCTCTGTGCCAGGCACTTTTCTAGACAGTGTTCATCTAGCAGTTAGTATAATTGTTACAAGCAACCTTATGAGGAGGATAGTATTATTATTATTATTCCCATTTTACAAATGAAGTAGCAGAGCTTGGAGAGCAAAGTGAAGAATCTTGCCCAAGGCTGTAGGGCAAGAGTTTGAGTCCCAGGTTTGCTGACTGATATGTCAAGTCATTATGCAGAGAATGTGGCAAGAGGTGTAGGTGTGGGTAGGCCATGGTGCCAGAGGGTCTGGGCTCAAGTCTTTGTGCTGCTGCTAGCACAGGGCCACTTTAGCGCGCCCGTTCACCTCTCTCGCTCTAGTTTCCACACCTGTAAGAAGGTGACCTTGGAGTTGCAAAATAATTGTGAGGATAATACGATGTTTGCTACATACATGGAGGACATTCAGTAAATGTAATTTAAAACAGAGGTCAGGTTGTCAATCTCAATGCTAGTCTGATTTGTTTGTCTTTGAAATGAACATTCTCCTAAGTGGTACAGCACTGTTCTGTCCTTTCTCTGTATTGAAGTAACCTTGGATTTCTATGATACTGAATGGTGTAACACAATGGTTACACATGGTTGACAGTGTTTGGTAGAGCTTACTGATTAAGACAGGCTTGGAAGCAGGAGTGGCCTCCACTTCCTAAACATGCCTGTGGAAACTCTATGAACTTAGAAGAAGGACAATAGTTCTTTTGTTTATAGGGTTGGTTCCAGATGGCACTTAACAACAACATAAATGCCAAAACCCTTGTCTCTGTTTTGGAGTTGCATGAAGAGGCTGGAGTCTGTGATGAAAATAGTGCTCTTGTTTTGGTTGATGATCTACATGTTGCAGGCGACTTGACGGCACATAACAACAACAACAACAACAACAACAATGTTTAGAGTCAACAAGCTCTTCTGGGGGGCCCTTACATTTAAAAGTTGGGCCTGAGGGATTATATTTTAATATCTTATTACTATATTTTGGAGGAACATTCTCCTAAGGCATACAGCACTCTGGATAATTTGATGTGATGAGGTAATCTGGGTTTGCTGTGACACTGAATCTTGTGCCATTTGGGTTTCAAATGCCATAGTAGAACATCTAATAACTTCCCATAGTGGGCAGTGTTTGATGGAACTCCCAGATTGATTCAAGTTTGGAAGCAGGAGGTGGCATTCACTTCCTAAACGACATGCCTCTGAAAACTCTATGAACTTGGAGAAATGACCACAGTTATAGAAAGACTTCAGGCCTTTTGTTCATAGGGTTGCTATGAGTCATGCTCGACTCAATGGCAATAAACAACAACGACAACAATCATAGAATCACAGTCTGGTTTAGAAAGAAGGCTTGTGAAAACCATGTATCTAAAATCTAAATATATGGCTTGTGGAAGCCATATATCCATGATCTAAAACTATTTAGTTCATGGCTCTTGCAAATTTAACCATAGTTTGACATCTGCTGTCCCTTAACATCTCTAACTTGGCAATGTATATTTTTTGATAAATGGCCTAACATCTCCTAGCAGGTGATGGCAAGAATTGAAGTTGTAGTTCAAGGTGACAGAAAACAATTACTTCTTGTTCTCTTACTATGAGAGAGGGGAAAATTAGCTAACCCATCCTCAAGGCAGACAATGTAAGTATTCAGGAATAACTTCATGGATATTCTTTTCCAAGAGCTGAGTAATACTTCCTATTATTCATCTGTCTATCTATGTATCATTAATATCACATGCAAGCAAGATTCTACTGAAAATTATCCAAAAATGTTTGGAACAATATGTCAACAGAGAACTGCCAGATGTGCAGGCTGGATTTAGAAGAGGTCGCGGTACTAGGAATATTATAGCTAATGTTAGATGGATCTTGGCAGAAAGCAAAGAATACCAGAAGAATGTCTATCTGTGCTTCATTGACTATGCAAAGGCTTTTGACTGTGTGGATCACAACAAGCTGTGGCTGACTCTGAGAAGAATGGGAATCCCAGAATATTTGATTGTGCTAATGCGAAACTTATACTTGGACCAAGAGGCAGTCGTCAGAACAGAGCAAGGAGACACTACATGGTTCAAAATCAAGAAGGGTGTTCGTCAGGGATGTATTCTGTATCCATACCTTTTCAAACTGTATACAGAACACATCATCCGAGACGCTGGGCTATACGAAGAGGAATGTGGCATCAGGATTGGTGGAAGA